AGAACCAAATCCAGGGTGGAGCAGTGAGATTTTATTGACAATAAGTTGGAAAAGGACTGCGAGTTGTCAGCAAGGGACCCTTCTTATAAAATAACCAATGAATTTGGTCTACAGATGTCAGTGTCCACAGTCAAAAAAGTACGTCGAAAATTAGAATGGCAAAAAACCAAAAAATGGTACTGCCAAATGATCAGACAGGTGAACAAACCTACAAACATGGGATTTGAACTTAGAACAGCGTACTGTCATAGAACATAGAAACGTCCAGTACTTGAACAACTCGCGATCCTCCTTAAAGTACTATAATACAACACAAAAAATTAATAATTAAAATAAAATAATCAAATAAAAACGCCGATACCTGCATGGCCTGAATCTGATCTCATGGAAGTCAGTGAGTCCAAGTTTTGTTGAGATTTTTTTTTCTTTTACAATTGACACGGAGAAAAAGAATAAAGTACATAAACTGGGAATTTTAAAAATTGGAAAGATTATTGCATTGAACAAAACAAGTATAGCCAATATGACATTTTGTTATTTGTTAATGTGTTATTGCATTGAACAAAACAAGTATAGCCAATATGACATTTTGTTATTTGTTAATGTGTTATTGCATTGAACAAAACAAGTATAGCCAATATGACGTTTTGTTAATCGTTAATGTGTTTTGCATGTATTAGTTTGTGCAGGCATGGGATTGGACTCTGCTGAAACTGTAAACGAAACACAGAAAAATACCATTGAAATGAGAAATCTGAATCTGTTCTCTTGCCAGCAAATAAAATGAACGAAAATAAGGAAATTTTATAACAAGAACAATTTCACTTCGTATATAGTTAAGTAAGTTGTGTTGTATCTGAACGATGATTGCATCGTGTGATTTAAATTTATCACGACTTTCCTTGCTGTCAATATGACAATTATAGTCACCTTGTCGATTGTAATGTACTTCACAAAGTTTTTGGTGCCTAATACTCACAACACTAAAATAATTAAACAAGATATTTTTTAAAAACTGTCATTTTACTCTTGATCATATTATTTTATTACCCTTACCGCTTTGAATTTCAAATCGATTACATATCGAACTTCTGTACATGTGTTTTTCTCTACTGCCTTTCCATGTGAAAATAATGAGGTCATATTCATGTCACAATATTTTGAAGCTGATGCCATGTTGATGCTATGAGACTGCGAAGCTGAGGCCATGATGATGCCACAAAATAAGCGAGACGAACACAGCTTCAATTTTTAATGACATGAAGCTGATGTCACAATGATGCAATGCTGAGGCCACAATGTAGCCATGCGTAGGTGACAATGATGCCACAAAACCAAAGCTTTTGTGATAACTGTACTGTTTGTATAAATTCAATCAGACTTGTGGTTTAACAGGAAATCAAAAATATAATAATATTTTTTTTACCAAAAATGACAAAAATATTTATCAAAATTAAAGAATTGAAGATATCATCATGAAATGAACTAATCTGAGCGAGGTCTACCTAAGGTGCATGCATGTATGTATATGTATCAAAGCAATTGGTCTTGCTGTTTTCAAATCGAAAAAGTAACAAGCAGCCTCTCGGCTGAAATAGCTCCGCTGTTAGCGATGCACATTTCAATTAAAGAACAGAAGATATCATTAGAAAATGAACAATATGGATAGTATCAATTCAATGGGACTTGCTGTTTTCAACAAGAATTCAAAAATATCGTTTTTCACCATAAATGATTGTGGTTTTTAACAAGAAGTCAAAAATATCACTTTTTACCAAAAATGACAAAAATATTCACCAAAACTAGAGAATTGACGATACCATTACAAAATGAACAAATCTGAGAGTGGTCCACATGTAGTACCTATATATGTAATATCAAAGCAATTGGACTTGTGGTTTTTAACAAGAAGTCGAAAATATCACTTTTTACCAAAAAAGACAAAAATATTCACCAAAATTAGAGAATTAAAGATATCATTACAAAATGAACAAATCTGAGAGAGGTCCACATGTAGTACCTATATATGTAATATCAAAGCAATTGCACTTGCGGTTTTTAACAAGAAGTCGAAAATATCACTTTTTACCAAAAATGACAAAAATATTCACCAAAATTAGAAAATTGAAGATATCAACATGAAATGAACAAATCTAAGAGAGGTCTACCCAAGGTACATATACACCAAGTATCAAAGCATTCAGGCTTGTAGTTTTCAAGAAGAAGTCGAAAAAGTAAAACATTGACACTGACGACGACGACGGACAATCACTCATATGATAAGCTCCGCTCGACAAAGTCGACAGCGGAGCTAAAAAGTCAAAGGTCACCAATGGGATCAAATGATGTCAAATTTAGTATGACTGGTAGTACACTGAAATGTTGCATCTGAGATCTGCAATTTTCACCGAAATTACTGTGACATGCTAATGCAGATAGACATTTTTATCTGGTTTGACAATTTTTTGTTTGATAAATCGATAATCTAACAAGAGGATATATTGTAACTAAACTATGATCTGATGACATTATGTATTAGAAGCTAGTGTGTATGTGTGCGTGTGTTGCTGTATGTCGTTTCAGGCTGGCATGGTTGGAAGTATACAGTCATAAAACATAGGAAATGTTATATAATGTTGAGGAATATAATAACCACCAATCGCTAGATTTATTTTATTTAAATCCATAATGTTTTCTAACATTTGTTAGCAGCTTCAGTGTTTAAATGGTTGAAAATGTGGAAGTGGTTCTCTCCCAAAGCTGAAAATTATAAATTACTCAGCAAATGTAGCTTTCAACAGTGGGATATGTAGACAGGTACATTTTTCAATGTTTGCTCTGTACATTGTTTAAGCATCATCAGATCACAAACCACATATTTATTGAACAGGAAAGACAACTTTTGTTTTGTGGTCCAAGGTACTCAAACTTTCAAGGTTACAACAAAATGTGAAAATGAAAAAAAGTAATTATACAAAAACTGATAGTGCCTTACCCATAACAGAGACATCATATTCTATCAACATAACAGCGTTGTGACCACTCTGCTTCAAAACAGCTATAGCTTCTTGGTAAGGTGAGCCAGTTAAGCATATACCATCAACAGATATCAAACGATCACAAACTTTCAGCGTACCATCCCTAAAAATGATTTGATGAGAGTTTGATAAATTTAATCTCAAGAACTTAACATTCAGACAAGGAGCAGGGGTATATCTTCTTTAAAACTTCAGAGAAAGGATACACTGACCTGTCTGCAGGTCCACCTGGTCGAATATGACACATCGTTAGCGGCCGGGTTTTGGAGTTTTCGTCACAGATTCCTCCCCTTATCACAAAACCAAAACTATTATTCTCTTTGCTTAAAGTTATTTCAACAGTCTTGGAGACTACGTTCAGACCATTCTCAAAAGCTACAGAAAAATAATCAATATGTTAGAACTCTGTTCTACCCCTGCTGAGCATATTCTAGGACCAGAGCATGCTTATTGTGTTAGACTATTTTAGTCAGCAAGAAAAATGTGTCAATCTCTGAGGTGGAAAAACGTAAGAAAATGTAAGAAATGTAATGATACAAACTGGGGCTATAATCAAATTTGGTTGAGATCCCAAACTGGTTTATATAATATTAATTTCTATTTTGTAAACCACAAAAAATTATGACAACAATAACAACGAGGACAGACATTTTCTCCTCACATACTTTGTCTTTCATTTACAATGATACAGACAAGGTGAGAACACTACATTGTACATAATACAACTATGGGTGAGTATTACCTGAAAAATTATTAAAAAACACTTACGCAAAGGTGGGAGTTCGAACTCCACTTCTAAGGTTACCCTCTCCCCTGCATTCTTCAATAAGTTGACAACCTCACCGTGTTGTAGATTAGTGGTTCTAATACCATTGACTGAGAGTATGAAGTCACCCACTAATAAGGAATCACTCCGCTGTGCTATACCACCGGTCCTGAGGCTGGATATCCATGGTTTACTGTTTTTATCAACACCGCCTAACATAGAACAAGATACATGTACTAAAAACTGATACACAATTATCTGCAATATACATGTACTGTAAAACTCCTTCACACATTATACATTTGTATGTACGTTGCCCTCTGGAGGTCAAAAGAATTCCAATTTTATCTGCGCATGTTTCTTCCACTTTTGGATGGGAAAAAAAAATGTTGGTGATTTAATTTGTATTTGACTCTTACCTTCAAATATATGAACTCTAAATTCAAATCCATGACTGTTATGATATATGGTAAGACAAGAACTACAATTTTCACCATGATTGGTGCAGTGTCACTAATTATAATCTCAATTGTTGTACATAGTAATTTTCAAAAATTGCGCTGCCTTAGGCGAGAGGTCATTACACACAACATCTATTGAAACTTGAATTTAATAGATTTCAAGACTAGAATGTAACAAGTAGTAGGTTACCTGATATTGTGAGTCCAAGGCCACAGCCTTCTCTTTTGATTAAGTCCACCACAACTTTACCTTTCTGATCCTCTAAGGGCAGGAAATAACATATCAAATTCAATTTGAACAGTAGCACAAGATACAGGGAAAGAAATGTAAACAAACAAACAGGCTGTCAGATGTGATAATAGTCTTAGTCTTCTCTGCTGTAGGTCTTTCTAACAATAAGCTTACTGAAAGTTTTCTTTTGCTACCGTACTAGTATTATATACTTGACATGTGCATGAAAACAGCAGATACAGTTCATACATACTCAAATTTCAATGTAAGTCAAAGTTTTACCTATTGAATAAATTTCAATGAAATGAATGAAAGAATAAATGAAGTTTATTTCACTATGAAACATATATACAGATAATATAATAAATGTAGACAAGAATGAATCTGATGATCTGATGCGCTGAATGCGACAACAACCTATTTAAACTACCATGTCTACTCAGTGCTGACTCAGCTGAATGGGACAACACACCGTTTATACTACCACGTCTACTCAGTGCTGACTCAGCTGAATGGGACAACACTTCGTTTATACTACCACGTCTACTCAGTTCTGATGATCTGAATGCGACAACAACCTATTTAAACTACCATGTCTACTCAGTGCTGACTCAGCTGAATGGGACAACACACCGTTTATACTACCACGTCTACTCAGTGCTGACTCTGCTGAATGCGACAACAACCTATTTAAACTACCATGTCTACTCAGTGCTGACTCAGCTGAATGGGACAACACACCGTTTATACTACCACGTCTACTCAGTGCTGACTCAGCTGAATGGGACAACACTTCGTTTATACTACCACGTCTACTCAGTTCTGATGATCTGAATGCGACAACAACCTATTTAAACTACCATGTCTACTCAGTGCTGACTCAGCTGAATGGGACAACACACCGTTTATACTACCACGTCTACTCAGTGCTGACTCAGCTGAATGGGACAACACTTCGTTTATACTACCACGTCTACTCAGTGCTGACTCAGCTGAATGGGACAACACACCGTTTATACTACCACGTCTACTCAGTGCTGACTCAGCTGAATGGGACAACACACCGTTTATACTACCATGTCTACTCAGTGCTGACTCAGCTGAATGGGACAACACACCATTTATACTACCACGTCTACTCAATACTGACTCAGCTGAATGGGTCAACACACCGTTTATACTACCAAGTCTACTCAGTGCTGACTCAGCTGAATGGGTCAACACACCGTTAATACTACCAAGTCTACTCAGTGCTGACTCACTTGAATGTGACAACACACCGTTTATACTATCATGTCTACTCAGTGCTGACTCACTTGAATGTGACAACACACCGTTTATACTACCACGTCTACTCAGTGCTGACTCTGCTGAATGGGACAACACACCGTTTATACTACCACGTCTACTCAGTGCTGACTCTGCTGAATGGGACAACACACCGTTTATACTACCACGTCTACTCAGTGCTGACTCTGCTGAATGGGACAACACACCGTTTATACTACCACGTCTACTCAGTGCTGACTCAGCTGAATGGGACAACACACCATTTATACTACCACGTCTACTCAGTGCTGACTCTGCTGAATGGGACAACACACGGTTTATACTACCACGTCTACTCAGTGCTGACTCAGCTGAATGGGACAACACACCATTTATACTACCACGTCTACTCAGTGCTGACTCTGCTGAATGGGACTCAACATCGTTTATACTACCAAGTCTACTCAGTTCTGATTCAGCTGAATGGGACAACACACCGTTTATACTACCATGTCTACTCAGTGCTGACTCAGCTGAATGGGACTCAACATCGTTTATACTACCAAGTCTACTCAGTTCTGATTCAGCTGAATGGGACAACACACCGTTTATACTACCACGTCTACTCAGTGCTGACTCTGCTGAATGGGACAACACATCGTTTATACTACCACGTCTACTCAGTGCTGACTCAGCTGAATGGGACAACACACCGTTTATACTACCACGTCTACTCAGTGCTGACTCAGCTGAATGGGACAACACACCGTTTATACTACCACGTCTACTCAGTGCTGACTCAGTTGAATGGGACAACACACCGTTTATACTACCAAGTCTACTCAGTGCTGACTCAGCTGAATGGGTCAACACACCGTTAATACTACCAAGTCTACTCAGTGCTGACTCAGTTGAATGTGACAACACACCGTTTATACTATCATGTCTACTCAGTGCTGACTCTGCTGAATGTGACAACACACCGTTTATACTACCACGTCTACTCAGTGCTGACTCTGCTGAATGGGACAACACACCGTTTATACTACCACGTCCACTCAGTGCTGACTCTGCTGAATGGGACAACACACCGTTCATACTACCACGTCTACTCAGTGCTGACTCTGCTGAATGGGACAACACACCGTTTATACTACCACGTCTACTCAGTGCTGACTCAGCTGAATGGGACAACACACCATTTATACTACCACGTCTACTCAGTGCTGACTCTGCTGAATGGGACAACACACCGTTTATACTACCACGTCTACTCAGTGCTGACTCTGCTGAATGGGACAACACACCGTTTATACTACCACGTCTACTCAGTGCTGACTCTGCTGAATGGGACAACACATCGTTTATACTACCACGTCTACTCAGTGCTGACTCAGCTGAATGGGACAACACATCATTTATACAACCACGTCTACTCAGTGCTGACTCAGCTGAATGGGACAACACACCGTTTATACTACCACGTCTACTCAGTGCTGACTCAGCTGAATGGGACAACACACCGTTTATACTACCACGTCTACTCAGTGCTGACTCAGTTGAATGGGACAACACACCGTTTATACTACCAAGTCTACTCAATACTGACTCAGCTGAATGGGTCAACACACCGTTTATACTACCACGTCTACTCAGTGCTGACTCAGCTGAATGGGACAACACATCGTTTATACTACCAAGTCTACTCGGTGCTGACTCAGCTGAATGGGACAACACACCGTTTATACTACCATGTCTACTCAGTGCTGACTCAGCTGAATGGGACAACACACCGTTTATACTACCATGTCTACTCAGTGCTGACTCAGCTGAATGGAACAACACACCATTTATACTACCATGTCTACTCAGTGCTGACTCAGCTGAATGGGACAACACACCGTTTATACTACCACGTCTATTCAGTGCTGACTCAGCTGAATGGGACAACACACCGTTTATACTACCACGTCTACTCAGTGCTGACTCTGCTGAATGGGACAACACATCGTTTATACTACCACGTCTACTCAGTGCTGACTCAGCTGAATGGGACAACTTACCATTTATACTAGCACGTCTACTAGGTGCTGATTCAGTTGCTTCAGCATTTGGAGCATGGCTGCTGGATTTCTTACGACTTGAACCAGTTTCTGAAGGTAAAGCAAACAATCAAGTTAAACAGTATTGTAAAGTTCATGTTCATCCGTCATCAGAAGAAAGACATGTCCTTCTTCAAACAAGTACATGTATTTGTATCTATATTGTGCTTGTATCGATCCTCATCAGAAGTTGAATCAGAAAAAATAAACAAAA